ACTCGAAGGTTATGTAGATGCCGATTGGGGAGCATGTCCGAATGATCGACGCAGCTACACAGGCTATATGTTCATGCTCGCAGGCGCAGTAGTGAGTTGGGAATCACGAAAACAACGTACCGTCGCACTCAGCTCAACTGAAGCCGAATACATCGGACTAACCGAAGCAGCAAAGGAAGCAATCCACCTTAAAAACCTTCTCTGCAACGTTCACTCAAGATCAGATCATCCCATAACGATATACAACGACAATCAGAGCGCCCAGAAACTTGCCAGAAACCCGATCTTTCACTCACGAACTAAACACATCGGGATACGACATCACTTCATCCGGGAGGCTCTCGAACGCAGAGACGTAGACATCAAATATCTACCGACCAGCGAGATGCCGGCCGACGTTCTAACCAAACCATTGTTTTCGAACAAACACCGGTCGTGCGTCGCCAACATGGGTATCGGACCCATAGAAGGTTCACCGTGATATCAAATTGAGGGGAGGTGTCGATACTCTCGACGCATACCAATTTGACCCACTAGAGGGACCTACCCAATAACCAAACAAAAGGTTTTATGACCCTTTGTCTTAACCTGTTCCTTTGTTAGAACTACTGACTGTCGACACGTGCGGACGTTCGTCCTACTGCTATGTAAAGACTTTTGTACATTAATTCATATATTAAAGGAAGATACCTTAACCAGTTTAATATGTTTTCATCTGAGTGTCTCTCCACTGATTCTGAATTAACCACAGTATGCCTGTATGTAAATGGTGTTTTGGGAAATGTTAGGATTAAGAACAGAGATTTAAGAAGCCTCTAAATTGAATAGGTAATTTGAAAGAAATTGTATCTTTGAGATGTTTAGTGTATGGAAGATATCCTTTATTCACAAAGAGGTTAAATTGAATTAAAATATGATGTATTTTTAATTGTCATGCTACAGTATATCCCATGAAGTAATGCCGACAAAAGAGGGGCTTGAGCCCAAAACATGTCTTGGCAAATAAAAAATTCCGGAATAAAACTTGATGACAGAATTGCCAAGTGTCTGTATAAACACCTAGTAGTGATAACAAATTATTCAAATAAAGGAAGACACGGTTTCAGAATATATTACAAGATAAAATACATTAGCTCTTTTCTGGAAAAGCATTCAAGTTTTGAATCATCATCATCATCCATTTATATATTTTTTTCATTTAAAACTCCAATATATTTGTCATCTAATTTTGATTAATAAAATAAGTTTGTTAATTGCTCAAATAGGACCAATTAAATAAATAACATTAATCTTTAAAATTTAAATCATCCAAAAAAATGAATATAATTCTACATATTATCTGTAATTTAAGTTTATTTTAACTGTTCATAAAAATGCCAATTTTTTGATAATTTTAAAGAAAATATTTCTGTTCAGATTATTTCCATTAGTGAGAAACAATCAGATTAAGAAAGTAAAGGAACAAAACATGATAATTGCATTTCATGACATACTTATAAGACATATTAAATTCTAATATAAGATTTTTTTTAAAGTCTAGCTAAAAGCAAGTTAAATGTTGCTGGAGTAAAGATATTTATTTGAATCAAATCAGAATTATGAGATCTGTTGAAAAAATAAATATTTGATACAGAATTTAAATTATAAAATTAAATTGGCAACTTAAACTTCAATTGATAATACCAAATATTTCTTAAAACTTTTAATTAACTTTTATCATTAAAAAAAATATAATAATTAGAAGAAAATATATAATTCATAATTCAAGTTTCCATTCTGGTCTGATTTTATATTATTATATTTAATTATATACAGAATTAAGAATTTCAGCTTTAAATTAATAATAAAATAAATGTTCTTACGATGTTCTGCTAAGGCTATATGGAGGATCAGAAACAAAGAAACTGCTCATTAAGGACAAGCAAATTAATACTAAGATGGGCATCATTTGTAACAACACACTATAACTATTCTGAAAAGAAATATAAAAACTGTTTTAAAAATATATTATGTTATTCTTCAATAAATTTTAAATTAATGTTCTTTCTCAATATATATACAAAAAGAATGAAATATAAATACATCAATATACATTACAGAAACACATACAGAAAAATATTTTTATACATAATTTGATATCTTATTTTTACAATTACAAAAATTTATTTCTTATCAAGCATTTTAAAAATTTGATCATTTTGAAAATAAATGTAGAATTCTTCAATTTGAACAATATATTTTAGTTATCAATGACTACAGACATGTACAAATTGTTCCATGAACCATCATCTTATCTAACAAGAACTGAAAAATTCAAAAATAGTTTAAGTTGGCAATAAAAAATTTGCTTCAGATCAGACCCTGTTAAATTACATAACGTGTATTAAATTATGTACTCTTTACATACAGTGACTCATTCTTGCTACTATGCATCACAGCAACCCAGCAAAAATTCATTAAATGTATGAAAAACAAAATCAATGAAAATTCCTCATTTATTTTGCAAATGCATCAAATCATAATAGTAATCTAATAATACAAAATACATTATCATTTACACAGGATGAATTAATGTAGCACAGTAATATATACAGTGGTACCTCAGGATACGAAATTAATTCGTTCCGAAACTGAGATCGTATCATGAAAATGTCATAAGGTGAATCATTTTCCCCATATGATAACATGTAAAACCAAATAATTCGTTCCAACACGAAAAACACACTCAAATTAAAGCTAAGTAGTACATTTAAAAAACTACTTTAGTATAAAAAAAAATAACTTTAGTAAGGAAAACACTGAAAAATGCGTTTTGTAGTTGTAAATGTATAAATAACTATAATAGAATAATAAATAATTTTAAAAAATGTAGTTTTATTTGCACTTTACCTTTGAGGATAGACAACGGTGGGGGTGTAAACTGGTGGAGGGGGAGAGAGAGAAGTGAAATGATACTAAAACTTAACTTACATAGCTTAATGTAACAATAACTTAAAAATAACTTAGAAAATATAAAGAAATTAGTGTTGTTTTACATATTTTTTAAAATTTTTATTCACTGCTTTTTGCTTTCTTTCCTTCACTTTCGCCAGCACTTTCACTGGATAGAGGTCGCTTGGTAAAATATCTATCCAAAGAGGTTTGGCTTTGCCTACTTTTAAAAATGTTTCTAAAATGACTTAGGCAAATGTCATTACTCCGAGCAGCAATACGGCCAGTGTGAACCTTTTCGGGGTGTTTATTTTCAATAAAATCTGTCACTTTCTGATAATACCTCGAGATTTCCTTTATCGAGCGAGATCCTTCCACGTCGAAGCAAACACCGGACTGAGAACAATGAACAGAAGTGAATAAAAAAAATGGCGCTGCGAACTAATGTAAGTCGTATGGTGAGTTTTTGTTCATATCGTGGAGCAAAAATATGTTCGAATTTCGTGTCGTATCCTGAAAATTTCGTATGCTGGGGCGTTCGTATCCCGAGGTACCATTGTATAATTATATCCATATCAATATGTGTTTTAACATATATCAGGAAATATACTTACATATATAGCAACATACCAATCATTATTAAGATATGAACAGAATTAAAAATATTGTTCTTTTAATTTTGTTATATTTGGTAGAATATTTTTCTAACATATTCAAGTATCAAATAACAATTTTATTGCATGTAGTAAAGAAATTGCTTTATGGTTATTATATAAAATTAATTTGTGTAAGTTTATAGAATTACTGCATTAAAAATTATTAAATATATAAATCATTCAGTATTATTACCAAATTACTGATATTTATGGTTGAATAAGAGCATACAGTATTATTTTGGATAATCCTTTGAAGCTTTAAAGTCTAAAAAGTATATTTTTCATGTAATAAAGTTTGAATAAATATTTCTAATGCTGTTGTGAGGCTTTCAATGAGGGGAAAATATCTGAAATGTTTAATTTTTGGATTCTTCATAACTTGAAAAACACACAAAGAAAAAGAAATTATGAATAATATATAACAAAACTTATTGCTAAAATTTAGCATGCTGTGTTTAAGTCCATTTTAACATATTAGTTATAATGAATTAATTTCAATTAGCTATAAGAAAAAATTAACATAAGCTAATTTTGTTTTTTGTTTACTGTAATATTTATTATAATTTCAAATATATTTTTTTAAAATATCTAAAATCAGTTTAAAATATTTAAGTCTGAAAGTATTTATACAGATTAGTATTTCACTAAATAATTAACAGAATGTAATTATTTAGTGAAAATAAAAAAAAACATTTGACTGAGCAAGTTAAAAACACTAATTTAAGCATAATATAATAAAAACTAACAGATTTAAGTAAAAAAAGGTACCATTAAAAAAACAAAGAAAAGAGCATTGTGACAATAAAAACATTATCCTCCCATCTTATGAATACCACAAATAATTTATTTAATCTATATATAACAACACAGTTAGTGAAAATATATCAATAATAAATTTCTCCCTGTGCAAAAGAATTATTTTTTAAAAATATGGAACAATGTTAATATTAAATATGAAAAATGTAAGCTGACAACTTATGTGAATAATAGAAAACAATGAACAAAGTTACAAACTTGTGATAAAAATAAACAAATTTTTCCCAATAAAAAACTTAATTGTATTACCATTAGAAATTGAATTGCAACTGAAAAACTTCCAATTGTGTTGTGGAAAATTACACAGGCATTCTTCTCCAAAATATTGCCAAGTCTCTTGGTAAATCATAGTATGTAGTAAGAAATGATTTATTTTTTGTTGCAACTTCAGGTTTTATTGTAACCTGGAATAAGGTGCTTCAAAAGCAATTTTAGAAAATCTTTTCAAGAGAAATTATTCTCATTTGGATAAATTTTATTCAGGGTATTTACTCTGAAATGTCACAATTTTAATTCATAAGAATAAACTGCATATTCTTTTATTATAAGTAACTACATAATAATAATATACAAATTTCAAAGTTTTTGGGGTAACACTGTTTATTGTTGTTGCTACGGTTGTGTTGAAAAGGTCTACTTCTAAATTTACAAACCAACAGAAGAAAAATAAATGGTATATTGAGCTAAGATCAATCTTGAGCATGCAACAAAAATTCACATTCATATATCACACTCATTGTAAACAAAGAGTGTGGTATATGAAGATTGTAAACAAAATATTGAAATTTTCAAGGCAAAAATTCTCATTCAGTTGATAACATACTTCAGAACATGTTGTGACATTCTATGCATGACATACTTCAAAGATAAGAAGTATCAATGGAGATCACTGGCATGATGTTAATCTACAAAACATAAATAGCAAACACTGTTGTTTGAAATTTTGTACACAAAAAATTTCTCAATAAATATTCTAAAGTTTGATTCTGATGAAACCGTGTTGTTGTTATTAAGCTGTTTCTTTGCAGACACACTAAGGTGACATATATCAACACTTGGCAACTTATTGACTATTTATTCAGTTGGGACGCCTTTTACATTACGCGTTTCGGGCATTGGCCCCTCTTCAGCCAACTAGACATAAAAAATAAAACATGAGAAAATTTGTACAAAAATACGCGAGTAGATAAACTGTTTTTTTAAAAAAATTTTTTTAAAAACATACCATAAAACACAAACCACTATTGTACAGATGTCGTACAGGATGGACAATTTCATATTTCATATACAACTTGGAGAACAAACAAGGTCGA